ATAATGAACAAGGTCGGCACTGAGTCACACGAATGAATCATGCACGTGTAAGTATAACAGTATGTACCTAGTAGTTGTATAGCGGCATAAACATGGATTTTCGTTAATTTATTTATCTGTAGCACTCGTTACAGAAGAACTACACCCATGAAAGTTGGGTTAAGGGTACAAGTGCCTGAGACCTTCCTGGTTCCAGAGTATCATCTTCCTAGCCCTTTGTAAACTATGTATTTTGAGTGTTTAAATCATGAAAAATAAAATATTGGTGTGTTACCAAAATCTTCAGAAGTCGCCTACCCCAAGAAAACTCGCACCTTTATAAAAGCTTTCGGACGAGTGGTCAACCATCTCTCTATTTCTGTTCTTGAGATATTTTGTTTCTAAATTGGTCGTACCCTTATATGTATGTATGTATGTATGTATATATGTCCCAATAATGGTCAGGTGGGACCATCCCTTCTATCCCGGCTTCTCTTGTGCTGGTTCCAATGAAACTTAATACTCTTGAACATTGGCCCGACTAGGTTCAGACCCCAAAGTTTCATGTTCCTACCTAGTCTTGTACCTTTTTTCTAGAATCCTCAAAACCTAATACTTTTCATAAACGTGTATCTGCACTATCCTTGGATTCAGATGGAAGTTCTTGGATCTGACTTTCCAGAGGTTTTTGCTATATGGCAATTGTTTGGGAGTGGATGAGTTAGTTTGAGTTGACTTGAGTTGATTGGGTGAATTTCAGGGGGAAGGGGGGAGGAGGTTTGGGTTATGGGTCCCCAGGGCACTGCCAGTACAGTAATCATATATATTTCTCTCTCAGGTTCCACCCCGTTGCACTGCGCTGCCCGAGGAGGCCACGTGGCTGTGGTGGAGGCACTCGTCCAGAGGGGGAGTGATATCAGCGCCGTGGAGGGAGTATATAGTAAGGAACAGCTCGACTAAAGGAGTCCTCAAGGCTCCGGAACAGAGGATCCGATCCTTTAGTAGGATCTCGAACCTCTCTCGACCATTCCATTTAAGATTAGCAGTATATTTTATGATCATTTATTTATTTTACTTGCCAACTTATTTACTTATCAAATAACTAAGTAACGAATATATATCTTCATTTACCTATTTGTAACACACATTATTCCTGGAAAACAAGGCTATTTAGTATCTTCCTAATATGGAGACAAACACGTAGCTAATTGGCCTACACTTTTTTTCCTCCTTTTTCATTGCTCGTCGACCTCTCTTCCTTTTTTCTTTTTCTCCTTTTTTCACGGCTTCGCCATGCTTATTTTCTTCTTCCTTTTCTCTTTCCTTGTGGCTCCGCTATTACGATTCTTATTTTTTCCCTTCGTTTCCCATGGCCTCGCGACAACTTCTCTTTCTTAAGGCTTCGCGGCCTCTCTGCTGACCCTCCGGACACTTCTTGGGCGTCGCGAGCCACTTAGGAACCGCTGTTGAAGAATCTTCTCAGGACCTTTTCTTATTTTTTGGCGCTGTTTTCATATAGTGGATAGGAAATCATTATTATCATTTAGTAGTAGTAGTAGTGTCGTTACTATCATTATATCATTATCATTATCGTTATTATGAATGTGATTATTTCTCTTGTTACGATTATTGTTTTATTATAATCATTATTACTACGATGATAATGATAGAGAATTATTTTTTATAATTATTATTTTCATTGTCATTATTAGTCCTCTATTACTGACTAAAATGATAATTTGGAAAGCCTTTTTCGGAACTAACTTACCCTTCATCCATTCCTCTAATTTCATAACTGCTACTTATCGCGCTATCGATCTCTCTTGATTGTCTGGATTCGGTGCCTAAGGTCTTTCGTCGGCCTAGGACCACCGCTATCTAGGGCACCGCTGGCCGCCGCGTCTCAACCACAACCACCAATGCAGTCAGTCCCGCACTTTCAGAAAGGACGGCCCTCCACTTGGCCGCTTCTGCAGGGCACCCGGCAGTGCTGGAGGCCCTTGCGAGGCGAGGGGCGGCCGTAGACGCCGTGGACGAAGAAGGCAACACGCCCTTGCATCGAGCGGCCGCCAAGGGCAATCTCCTGGCCCTGTGCACGCTGCTGGTGTTCGGAAGTTCCACGAAGAAGAGGAACAAGGAAGGGAAAACGCCCATGCAACTGCTGACGATATCGCTTGCTAAGGTAAAGCAGCGGACCCCGGACTCTCGTTGGCTGGCGCTTCCTTGGCTCCCAGGCGGATGCCGAGCGCCCCGGGGCCTCCCCCAAGCCCTATGTGCACACACGCGGACACCTTTTTTTCATGTTTCAAATTGAAAACAAAGGCTCAGACACAAAAACGTCTTTCACAAGTAAAGCCAACTTTACTTAACCAATTTATTTAACCGTTTTAATAGTCGCCACCCCTCCCTCTCCCCTCCCCCCTTCCTCCTCCCCCTCCCCTCCCGTCTTTACCGGTCACTCTGAGAAGCAATAAGGTAAACGCATGCAGTGCAAACCATATAATTTCGCACTATGTTTTGC